CACAAGCAGTTTCACAATAGATCATATTGTGAATGCCTGCTCTGTGATGAATTTTGCTCTTTGGGCCAGTCATTCTTGATTCTCCCAGTCCTAGCCAATGCTCCATCTAAGCTGTGGAGTCTTGTGAGCAAAAATTCTGCTTTGTGAGCTACTGGCATTAAAGTTGTGAGCGAGTGATTTGGCTACTGCATAAATCAGTGCTCTGGAGCCATCCTCCCTGAGCTAAGACAAAAATGTGTGGGCCGGGGGCTAAAAAACTGTGAACTGGCTCACACTAACTCACCTTAGAGGGAACACTGCTCCTAGCCTATCTCATAGTGTTGTGAGAGTAACATGGAGAAGGAAAGAACCATCTATGCCACTTGGGGGATGGGCTGGTTAAAAATCTGATAGTTGGTTCAAAATATTTGTCTGAGGCTAGTGAGTATAGTGCTGGGAAACCTGGGTTTGGATTCCTATTCCGATGTTAGGCTGGTCATTCTCTCCTGGACTGAGAGGATCAGCATGAATTTGGAACTGAGTATGCTCTGGTCCGAGTTCTTCAGAAGAGTAGTAGGATAAAAATCCAATAGACAAAGTAAATGAGTCTTTGCAGAGAAGAGGAAAGCATTTTTCTGCACACAACACACACAGGGGCCATGTAATATGCAGGTGAGACCCTGAGTAGTGGTGCCTTTTATTTAGAAATCAAAGCACCCTTAGGTGCAACAATTCAACTCAATCCAGATTCTGTGACTTGTTTTGGATGGAGTCACCCTTTCCTTAGAAAATCTACTGGACTCAGCTTTACTCTTGCACTCTTATGGACTGTGCCCTTTCCCCACTTTTGGCTGGTAGCTGGCTTTATCCTCTACTGGAATACAGAGATCAGACTGTTGTCATTCATTCTTTGTGACCTCTAAGCTGTGGAAAATTATGTGAGGCTGGCCATGCAGATGGTTTGAAAACAGCTTTTGATGCAGAATGCGGCAGCTGAATTAGTTTGGGGGTAATAAGCAGAGATCCTCATGTTACCCTTTGTGCTGGTACTGGCAAACAATTAGCCTAATTCAAAGTGCTGGCTATGGCCTGCAACATACAAACAGCTACTGTATTTCATTGGCCACATTCTCTCATTTGAGCTTCCCTCACACTTGAGATCAGTAGGTGTGGCTTTCAGTATCGTTTTGTGTGGTGACATCATTGAACTCCCTTGAAAATAGGATTTTTTTAGTAGCTGCCCCTAGAACACCATAGTTCAAGAGATTGGATTCACAC